CCAAAGATATTTTCCCTTCCGATTTTTGCATTAAAATCTCCTAGCAGAATTTTAATGTCATGGCCAGGGCAACGGTCATATGCTGTTTCTAGGCGCTCATAAAATATATCTTTGGTCTGTTCATCTTTATCTTCGGTCGGAGCATGGGCGCAAATTAGACTGATGTAAAAGAACTTCGCTTTTATACGGATTATAGCAATTCGCTCATCTACTGGAGTGAATCTGGAGACAAGGTCTTTTATTCTCCTGTTAACCATAAATCCGCAGCCAAATTCATGTCTCGTTTCATGGCAGCTATAATACAGGGCGTAATCGTCTGATTTACTTACGCCTGTCCCTTTCCATCGCATTTCCTGTAAGGCAATAATATCGGCTTTGTACTTCTTGAGTATATCCGCCAAAGCGAACACTGCCCCTGTTCTGTATAGCGTGCGCACATTCCAAGTGCAGATTCGCAGATCGTGGTCCTTTATACGTTTGCGGGGGTCGTCAACATTAGGGGGGTTTGGTTTTCTTTTTCTTTGCTTTTTCATAGTAGGTTGGGTTTTCCGAGAGTGGGCAACTAACCCGACGCCTCAACCCATTTTTTTTATAGTTCTTATGGGTGAACTCGCGGCACATATTAGCTCACTATTTCATCGGGTGATGAGAATAGCTCCCCAGGTGGCACCGCGGGGAGGTCAGTGTCCACAATTGAGATGAAAGAGGGACCAAGATAAGCCTGGGCTTCGCCATGTTAAAGCTAATCAGAGCCGTTGCTTGGTATCTATCATCCCCTACGCCACCCAATATATTTAATTAGTTATTGTAATTCATATAATATAATTAGTTATTGTAATCATGCATACAACTTATTAAATACAACTTAAGTGATAGGTTAGGATTGGGGATGTGTAGTCAACTAACTGTAACTGCAGTACTGGGATACCGCGTTGATTTATTCCAATTAATGACGTCAAATCGTTTGTTTTTTTTTTCACAATACCAATATTTTATGAATATTGTATTCTATTGTTATAAGCCATCCAAACGGTCTCAAGATTTCATATTTCTGGAAACATAAGCATTTTGTTCTACAGTACGTTAAAAATGACCATTCAGCATATTTGGACAATTATAACGACAGTGGGTTGCATAAAAAATATGGAACAATATTTTTTAATATATATGTTATTGTATAACTTTCTTGGGTTTTATTGTGCCTTCTTATTGTAATTTATAAGAAAACGATTTTCTGGGTTTGGCTGGTTAATTTTAAAACCGCATATCATACAGTTTTACCGTACAATAAGAACAAAAAAATGTGTGAGATTTTAGATGATTTAGAAATTTTAATAATAAAAATTAAAGTAAAAACACAACGAGAAAATGCGTTTTTACAACATGAAACAATAATTCATCATTTTCTTTTTGGTTACGTAGTTTTTCTTTTGAAACCACTGTCCATCACCGCATACCAATTGCCAACGCCATCACAGCCCCAAATGAATAAAAATTTACAATTGTTAGTTGTGAAAATGTCTTACTTTTGGGCCTACCTATTATTAATGGCTCTGCATCATTCGTGTTTTGCACAACTGTCGGATTTTATACAAGTTTCGGTACCAACAGATTTTAATGAAAACTATTGGTTGCCAACAAATTATTATTCGGCCATTAATCATCAGTATTTAATTAATTATCAAAGACAATTGTTTAATTTTATGAAATACAAGCATTTCGAACGAGCCCGATATCCATGAAATTGTTGGAAATTAAAAAAATAGAAATTTAAAAATTTCTTGGGAAAGTTATCATCGAAATTAGCAAACGAAGGCAAAATTTGGAAACAACAAAAAAATCAAGGCTAAAAATTAAGGTTGCATAATTAAGAATGGTAATAGAAATTGGCACAAATAACAATTATATGCAAATGGAATTTGAAAGAATAGTTAATGCGAGGCCGCTGCCAACAGACGATGTCGATTGCACAATCAATTTAATTATTTACATTGTTGACCTGCACAACGATAAAGATTCTCAAGTCATAGGCCGGCACCACTTGGAGTGCATAATGGTACGCTAAAGCCCTGAGAACTGCAATAGGGTATCTACTCATGACTTCTATAGACCAGTTCCATTAAGCGACGAAAATGCTTATTGGGCGTAAACACAACAGGATGTTGTAAATCTGCTTGGGTGCTTTAAGAACATACAAGTCTTCACCTAATGCATAAGCATCTACCACTCGACATGTCAGAAAATGTTTCCACAATCTTGGGAAAGAATTTTCATTGTTGTGGATGCAATTAAAGAAGAGTGAATATAATCCGTCGCCTCAATTCGTATTGGCCGCAAATTCGTAACATGATACAGAAAAAGTCCACATGACACGATCAACTTTTTAAATTGACCAGAATGAAGTCACATTTGTATTAGCTGTCCCGCATGAACGAAGTCAGACCCGTAAAATGGTTCTTCATATTTTATATAACAATTTACATCACAAACGCAAACACACGAGTACACAATACGTCAAAAATTGTCATAAATAATCTTCGAACATGCGTCCAATAGAGGACACTTTAGCGGAGCTGGAATTTACAATCTGGAAGAAAAGGCTGGGAGGACCTCAGTCTCATTTAAGGACGTAACCAAATTTATGTTTGGACGGAGACGCCAGTCGTGCACAGTGTTCCAGAACATTATGTTTAAATCCCGTACAGCGAATAAGGATGTTCCCCAGGGTGAGTGATATTTCTGTAGCTGTTTACCCCTACTATTGTCCTCCAGACGTCATATATTATAGATCCTTATGCATGTGAACTTTCTCCCGAAGATCTGTTATAGCAGCCAGTAAAATAATCAGCATTCCCTAATTTGAAGACAAGTCCCGAACCTGGATGAATCAAACGGGAAGAATTACTGCATATAAAACTACTACAGCGTATGTGAACGATTGCAAGATCATGGCGTTGGGTCTTGTAGTAAAAGAGAGATGTGAAAGGTTCAAACGTATTTTCAGAAAAAAGAAGAAAGAACAAGAAAAACGTGAGCGTGAGCAATTCGAGATGTACAGGAGTCAGAATGAAGTCCGAACTTTTTACCAACAAGTAAAACACCAACCCGAAGGCTTTGGTGCAGGCACATCCTCCTGGTGATAAATACAGACAGCGTGCTGAGGATCTGGAAGGAGCATTTAAAAAAACTCAAATCAAATAATAACGGTGAAGAGGATACCCCAGAACCCCAGAATAATAGATGACGGTATAGAGTGTTTACCACCTACCCAAGATAAGGTCAGCATAGTAAACAATCGGCTGAAGAATAATAAAGCAGCAGGTGCCGATGAGTTACAAGCCAAACTATACAAGACTGGTGGTCAGGTGCTGATAAGGAGCATGCGCCAGCTGATTTGTTCAATTTGGCTAGAGGAAAACATGTCGAATGATTGGAAGGAGACAAGACAATATGTGCCAACTATAGACGAATAAGTCTCCTTCCCATCGCATATAAAGTGCTATCCAGCGTGCTGTGTGAACGACAGAAGCCAATGGTCAATGACATTATTGGACCGCACCAATGCGACTACAGACCTGGCAAGTCCACCATTAACCAGATTTTTACTCTACGCCAAATTCTAGAAAAGGACTATAAAGCAGCATTGGACAGCCCTATCCGTTAAGAGGTGTTTAAAGCAATGTCTGCGTTTAGCATTCCTGCAAAATTAATTCGGCTATGCAGGATGACTTTAACTGGCACAAGATCAGCAGTTAAAGTGGGTCTGACAGTAAACGGCAAGAAGACCAAGCTGATAGTATCAACGCGCAAGACGTCCAGTAGACTCGGACCAACTGTGAAACTTGAAAACTACACTTCGAGGTAGTCAAATATTTTATATACCTTGGTACAGCCATAAATAAAACAAATTACATAAATTTTGAAATTCGGATTAGGATAGTGTCGGCCGACAGAAGCTAGGTCATGTTGTGACAATGGATGAAGATGCCTCAGCCCAAAAGGCATATTAAAGGGAACCAGCTGATGGTTCACGCAGAAGGGGAAGACCACGAATAAGATGGAAAGATCAAGTGGAAGACAACATTGCCGAATATGATCTTTCAAACTGGAAAAACTGCGCAAAAGACCGACACGCCTGGAAATCTTTTTTAATCTCGGCTTATGGAACGAAAGTTCTGTCACAAGCCAGCTAAGTAAGTAAGGAAGGTTAAACACTCATCTCAACAAATTGTGAGGAATATAATATGCCTCAGAAAACACTGGTTAAGGGACATACACTACCTACCAAAAACTACCTCATGATTCCTTGGGTTATATTCGACAGCATGTTTATGTCTTACCGGCAAGTTATATCTATCTATCTATGTCTGATTATCTAAAAAGTATTGATAATAATGTGCCGAATCTCGGTTCAGCATATAGTACAGGTCCCCACACTACACTGCAACAGTTTAAATGTCCCTCCAAGTCAGCTCAACTTAATCCAGACGATCTGCTGTTGAATCCATTGGAAGTAGCCGCATTTTTTTACCTGGGAACCTGATTGAAGTTAGACAAACCTAAACAACTTATAAAACTGCTAAAGTAGAACACAAAAAATATTTATATTGTTCCGGATAGAAGAACCATATAAATATTTTTTTTTAATAAATTATCCCAGTTTTAATTGTTCGTATTTAAAAAAATGTATTTATTATTTTTATTGTATAATTATGTTAAGTGCATGTTAACAAATTAATGTAAATATATAAGTATTGAATAAAAAATGTCACAAAAAAAACAATAAAAAAATAATATCGAAATTTAGTTTTTGCTGCAAATAGTATGATTTGGAAACAATTAAAGTCTTGAATGTGGATGTATTTGTAAGTATAATTTTTTTCTGGCTATGTGGTTTATATTGCTTATATTTTTAAGGAAATAATAGATAATATATTCAATATATGTATTTTATTCCCCCTTTAAGCTATTTCCAGATAGCGGATGATCTTGATTACTGTTCAGTCTCCATCATTAAAAAGTAAATTTTCGGTTTGTAATTGTTTTCGTATGGCACCAACTTGGGTAACAACCTTTGGAGATGTGGCTGATATTGTGAATTTCTGTACTGCAGGAATCTTTTTGAAAATATAAAATAATATAATTATAAATAAACAAAAAACAAAAGATGATATAATTTCCAAACTTACATCCCATCGATATTTCAAGTTTTCCAATTCATTTGATATTTGTTTATCACGTTTGGTTGTGGTTGTTTCTCTTCGTGTCATCTTCGGCATGTCACACAAAATTGGTATTGAGAAATTATTACCACCCCTTAGGACAATATCCCGGCGAGCAGTTGTCATTGGGGTAGTCTGAGTTCCACGCGATTTGGATGCAAGTTCGCCATAATTTTTAAAATAGCCCATTAAACGTTTATCCGTTTGTCGACGTAATCGTTCAATATTTTCTTCACTTTCGATAAAAATGTCAGTGTTGTGTTCGGGTTTATGTAGATTATTTACGTTCTTTGCATATGGTTTTTCAATATCATCATTATTTATATTATTGTTATTAGTGGTGCTGGTGGGTATATTGTGATCCGATCCAAATGAAACAAATTCTCGAACATGTGTTGGTTGATGGTCTTTCACATTTGGATTTAAATTGTTACCGGTTTGTGAACATTTATTATCATCACTTGGTTCCATTTCATCATTCGTGACAATTTGTAGTGGAGTTTTCATCTTTAAATCGTATTTAAGAAAGATGCAAATTAATTCCATATTAAAAACTTTTAGATGTGCAATGGAACTCGTCTCGATATCAAATAAAAATAAACAATATTAGAAAAATAATAAAAAAAAATCGGAAGGAGTTGAGTTCCATCACACACACACCCACCTCTATCTTCCCCATGATACTCACCACATTATCCACTCGATCATTTACGTGTTCATTTTCGATATTTTTATTTGTTGATATTTCTTCTAAACAAAATGCACACAGATTCTTGCGACAATGCATACAAACATTACGGGTATTCTGGCAAGCACGACATGTATCGGTTTTATCTAAACAACTTGGACATAGGGTATACAAACGTTCACAATTATTGCAAACCAATATTATATTTCGATCCACATGACTGTTGTAGGATGATGCTGTGGACGTATCCGCCGCCTCCGTCTCATTTATTGGCAGTGTCATGCGACTTTGACAGCGTAGACAAAAATGATGTTGATATTCCCTCAACGGCTGGTCACATATCGGACATATTTTCTCACTCAAATGAAAACATTCTTTTTCGATTTTGGGAAAATCTATATTGGCTGGCATACGACGAGATCTTTGGCGATAATTATATTCATTTTTGGCCGAATTACTAAAATATTTGTATACCTTGTTGTCATCCCAATTGGAGGAAATATTTTCTTTGTTGCGTTTTTGTTCGGCTTGTGGCGTTGGAGGTGTTACACGTTCGGGTGGTAATAGTTTTGTATCGTTTTCTAATTTTGCCAACATATGATTTCTCATATAACGATTTTGTTCGGCTTTATAGCGTAACTGGAATTTGACGATTTGCGATTTACATAAATTTGAAAGTGGTTATTGAATTTTATTTTTGAATTATAGTGTACCTCTGTTGCCTTCATTCTTTCCTTTTCCAATTGTTCTTCCAGTTTAATGGTTTTCAATTGTTCCTGTAGGCGCCGTGTTAGAATTTGTTCCTGCTCCTGCTCTTTTTCCTTGAGTAATTTAATGCTACGTCGTTTATCTTCTATCTGTTGTATAAGTTCACGTTGATAGGCCTTTTTTCTCGCTGCCTCGTCCTGCAATAACGCTATTCATTAATCGAAATCGATTCGTTCTGTAATCATCAATAAATGTGTTTTATTGTTTATTACAACAATATTCAGTAATGTCCTCTTTACAGACGTATTATTATTATTATTTATTTGCAAAGACTTGTTACCAGGCTATCTAGCCCATTAAATTAAATCTTAATAATTAAAATTAAACCTAAAAATTAAAATTAATATCCCAATTACGCAAATAAAAACATATATATGCTTCACGAAAAGTAAACCTGATTCGTACTACTATAATATCGTCCTCTCTTAAAAACACTTATTATCACTTATTAATTAAAACCGATAAAAGTATATACATATATTTAAGAGATGACAACATACAAAACATATTGATATCTTATACAACACTTACAGTTATGTAAATATTAAAAAGTATAATATGTATTATAGAGTTAAATAATGATCCAGAAGTTTTTTTATAACTTTTAGTACATAACGAAAAAGACTTTAATGAATATGGTAAACAATTATAAAGACGGACACCTCTGACATGAAATGCTTGACTTAAATAGGAGGATAGGCGTGGAATTATGATCTGTGGGTTTCTAACAGATCTTCCAAAACTGAATAATTTGCACACAAATTCAGGTTTCATACAATTTTGTGTTCTATAAAAATGTAACAGCAATCTAATATTAATATAAGTGAAAAAAGAATACCCTAAAAACTGGATAATATAGCCGCACAAGTGTTGTCGACCTTTAACAGAATATATGAACCGTACAACACTATTCAACACCCCACGTAACTTTCTCATGACAATACCTACTGTCCCAGAGTATACTTCTATGCAATACAAAATCACTGGCATAATAATAGCATAGACAACTTTAGTTTTAATATGTAATGGAAGTGATAAATTTAGATTGAAAAGCTTTCGCTTTCGGGTTTTGAAAGTTTTTTTCATGGCCACGACTCTTATATCAGATTTTTATAGCAGATCTTAATTCGGATAAATGTATATTGCAAATTAAATAAACATTTCCGGACTGTCCGGCGGAAATTTACTCCACCAAAGTAACCAGATTTTTATAACCCCCGTCATAATATTGAGGATACATTAATATTGTCATTCGGTTTGAAACTATGACAGTATAGCCATACCGGTCATTCTGCTGTATTCAGACTGTATTTCAAAAGAATTTCGATAGGGTAAATTTGTACTGCAGTAGCTTTCATATAACGATACTCTACAACTCTGCTCGTTTCCGGAATCTCCTTAGAGGATTTTGATGAAGCATCTATTTTTTTCGGGAGGAAGATCCTCTCCATCTGGAGCTCTCGATGAAAAGCGTTCTTAAATAAACATTTTCGGACTGTCCGGCGGAAATTTACTCCACCAAAGTAACCAGATTTTTATATTATTTTTTTTATATTTTTTATTTTTATAATATTGAGGATACTTTAATATTGTCATTCGGTTTGAAACTATGACAGTATAGCCATACCGGTCATCCAGCTGTATTCAGACTATATTTCAAAAGAATTTCGATAGGGTAAATTTGTACTGCAGTAGCAACAACAATCATTCGTTGGAGCCACAGCAATCTTTCTGTGCAGACTTTGCCGGTATCAACGTAGAGTCCAACTCATCATCAGTTAAGGTTAGATTTTGTAGTAGTTCCTGCGGCATTATCTCTCGGAGACATTTGTACTCGTCATAGAGCCAGTCGATGTCTTCTGCTTCTTAGCCATGGACAAGTGCATAGTATATGTTTAAAGGTTTCTAACTCTACCTCATCCCCATTAATGTCCCATTTGGAAGTGAGTGATCACTGTGGCCAGTTATGACAGTAGCGAAGTAGTTTTATGATGTAAGAACTCAGGCCAGACAGTTTTTAAAATTCTGCATCCAGGTTTTGCTGACCATCTGCTGTCGGCTTTCTCATTTTTGCCAATGAAATAATCAATAGGAGGTTGTATAGATCCCTCAATCCGTAAACTGGACGACTGCGAACCGCCTCGAGCAAGTTCTTCAGCTATTTCACTCCCATCAAGTCACTTTGTCCAGGAACCCAATAAAATTTTGCATTCTGTCGTATATAACGTAGAGCAGCTTTAAAGTCAATGTGTAACCGGAATTTCTTGAGTAGAAAGTCACTCGGTCTATAGTCCTCAGCTTCCCAACCTCTCGATAAAGGTCACAGTTACCCCTGTCCGTAGACTTGGTGTGTACGATAAAAAGAGACAAGCCCTGAAAATCCCCTGCATCGTGACCAATATACGATCATCTGCATGCTGCAACATGGTCGTATTATACCATCTGGCTCAGGGGATTTGTATGGTGAAAGCTATTTATTGTCCATACCAGTTTTGGGAAGCTTTTGTAAATTTATTCAGCTTCTCCTCTCCTTGGTCCGAACCATATGTCGATGAGTATAGTGCAGGGATGGTCCGTTTG